TTGACCAGCACGCGCGAGCGGTCGACGCCCTCGGCCTCGTACATGGCGATGATGCGGCGCGCGCGGCGGAGCGACTCGGCGGTGTTGAAGGACTCGCGGATGTCCACCTCGGTGGACACGTACCCGGGCACCAGCTTTACGATCTCGAGGCCGAGCTCCACCGCGAGCCGGTCCATCGCCAGCTCGAGCACGGCGCCGTCGCCGTCGGCGTTCGCCTTGGCGTAGCGCACGGCCGCGTCGACAAACGCGACGTACCGCTCGTCGCCGCTGAGGCCCGCCTGGCTCACAAACAGCGGGTTCGTCGTCGCGTCGGTTATGCTGCCCGTCTTTGCGTACTCGGCAATGACGTCGAGGTCTCCGGTGTCTATCGAGAGGGTGGTCACCGCGGCGAGCTGCTCGAGGCGCGACGCGGCCATCGAGGGCCGGCCGCCGCGCGAGACAGATTGCCGGCTGCTAGCGACCGCAGCCGGCCGCACGACAGAGAGGGCAGCCGCGAGCAGCATGTGTGTATGTGCAGGCCGCGAGGGAAGAGGCGGCCGCGAGGGAGACGGCCGAGGTGGAAAGTGAATCGTTTTGGCAAAAGAATTTTAGGCGCTGGCGCGACGGCTCGCGACGCGGCTCGCCGCCGACGCACACAGTGCTCGTCCGACCATCCGCGGCGTGGCGTGCGCGGCGCTGCGCGCCGCTCTGCGAGGGCTTCTGCGCTCATCTCATCCTGCTGCTGTGGATACTGGGCGACACTGGTGCAGGAGCCATGGAGGAGATGGCGCGGCGCTGTCGGACGCTCGCGGAGGTCTACGCGCGTCGATCGCGCACGGCAGGCGGATCGCGGGCTGCGTGAAAGCGGCAGGTGCGCGCCGCTCCGCCGTTCATGTGGAGGCAATCGATGCGAGTCGACTGTGTGTGTGTGTGTGTTCTCGAGGTTCTCGAGGTGGATATCCTTTGGCCGCGTTGGGTAGCGAGGATTGGTGTGACGCGATCCACGCAGGCGTGTTTTCTGACGGCCGACCGTCAGTGCACGGAGTTGCCCCTTCTCCGACTGCCCCGGCTAGTTCCCGAGTTTCGCGGGAGTGACCCCATGCGTCACAAACCCGAGACCTAGCGCGGGTGGGTTGGAGGGGGCTCGCCCCGTTCCTCCCCATCGGGCCGCATAAGCGGCCACGCCTCGCAGATTCGTTTTCGCGCCTGGGTCAGGCGCGCGGGGCATCCCCCGGGTCGCTCGACCAGCGATCCGAAGAGTGGCCGCTATGCGAAGGAAAGAGTGGGGCCCTCGGGGTACGCCTCGTCCGGCCTCCTTCGAGGGAGGAAGGGAATTGCGGGGTCCCCACGGGCGCCCTCAGTTCGGCCCTTCCGAGGGGGGGAGGGGAGCCAAGGGGGTGGGGTGGATTGGGGTTGGTTGGGAAGGGGTCTCCGGGTTTCGTGAGGGCTAAGACTTGCCTTTTCCGGGGAAGGGGC